ACACTGGCATCTGTGATGCTGAGTGAGGAGACAAGGTCGCAGGGCACCCTCCTGCTCCTGGGAGCCCTTGGCAGTGATGTGTCAAGACGCACTTAGGGACATCCCTGGCACCAGGTCAGAGAGGGCAGGTGTGGTTGCTCACAGCTCCACCATCTGTGGTCCCAGAGGACTGGAATGGTGCTGCCCATCACAGCGCCCAACATCAAACTGCACTGCAGACACGGAGGAGGACCAGTGGACAGCAAGGGTGGGGTGGGTGTTAAGGGGTCGAATCACGAACATGATCTTGCTTAGGTAAACCAAAAGGACAGACAGATTCACTCCTGCATGTCCATCAGGAGTGCCAGAGGAAGCTCATCAGCATGGGTTAGCTGCCCATGGGGTGAGACCAGGAAGCAGACACATGTCTAACTTCTATGTTGTGGCACTTTAGAAAAACAGGTTTGGGGGCTGGCATTGTGGCTCAGCGGTAGAGCACTTGCCTAGCATGTGCAAGGCCCTAGGTTCGATCCTCATCACCACATAAAAATAAGGACATTGTGTTCAACTACAACTGAAAAAATAAATATTATTAAAAAAAAAAGAAAAGAAAAACAGGTTTTGAATATATACATCCTGGTTTGAAAGCAGATATCAGGGGACTTCTGGACGGGCAGCCACAGCTGCGCCTTTGTGATGCTGCGTTCCTTCTCATCTGTAAACTTCCTGCGTCCAAGCACTCGATTTGGCTTTCCAAACTCTAGTCCCCAGTCATGGTTGTGCCATTGCTGGACGACCCTGCCATGGGTCTGCAAGGGCGGGGGGCGGGGGTGGCTAGGCCTGAGCGAGCCCCAGACCCCAGGCTCATACCTAGACACCTGCCCAGATGTTGTGGAGGTGAGAGACCAGCTCTGTCCAGGCCCTGCCTTTGCATGTTGAGCTGCCTGACTGAAGCCCACAGCCAGCCTGAGCCGTATGAACCTTGGCACACTCCCTGTGGCCGGGCTCCCACGCTCTGTGGGAAATTTGGTGGCCTCAGACTGTGGCCCCCTGAGCCTGGAGTCCAACAAGATCCAGGCCTGCTGAAGTTGCTGAAGGACAAGGGTGCTGGCCCCAGCCGGGAGATGTGGCAGGAGGCTTGTGGGCCTCTTACAGCAGTCAGCACTCAGGCCTTCGCAGCCTCCGCAGCCTCCGCAGCCTCCCACAGTCTGGGGTCCGAGTGTCCACAAACTTGACACTGGCACTCCAGTGTGCCACAGTGGCCCAGGAAACATCCTGGCCTCTCAGCCCCTCCCCAGTGGTGCTATCTCCATCCTACACCCCTACCCCCTGCACGAAGCCCCTGCCCAGCCAAGCTCCCTATTGAAGGTCCCCTGGGACTGAAGGAGCCAGAACCTGCTCTGCACCAGGGCCAGAGGCCTTGCCCACAGCTGGACCATGCAGGACACCATTTTCAGTGCTGAGCATGAGCAGAGGAGGGTGGCAGATACCCAGGTAGAGTCCAGGAAGTGACCACAGCAAACGTAGGCCCAGGGAGGCCCTAGTGAGTACACAGTGGCCTCCAGGGCATCCCACGGAAGCTGGCCACAGACTGGCCAGATGGTCGCACTCGCAGACAGCAGGGTCCACAGGGCCGGCCGGCCTGGTTGGGCCACAATGCTCAGGCAGCCTGGGGGTTCTTCCCACTGTCCACCATCCCAACCCAAGGCCAAGGCCACATGCCCCAGCTGCACCCAAAAGGGAACTTCTCTCTCAAAACATTTGAAACAGAACCAGAGAGCAATCAGCAGAAAGCAATAAAAAATCTCATTTGATTTTTCTGTAAAATGCCATAGAAGGCTGGAGCCAAACTGTGTGGCAAGGCCGCAGAGCCACAGCCTCCCACGCACTCACCCCACGAGGCCCCACAGGCTCTGAGGGGCAGAGGCCGTCCCTGGGCACCAGGTCCCGAGAACCCTGTGGGCTGACGGTGTGAGGTGGGCGTGACACAGCAGAGGTGTGAAGCTTGTGAGGGAGGCCCTGCACCTGTGAGAAGCTCTCTGGGGCCAGTCCCTCGGGGACTGGGGGGAGCAAGTGGGGGACGTGGCGGGGAGTACTGCCAGGCAGAGTTGCCCTCGTGGCTCAGAGCCACAGGCGCCACCTGCCCGCTCCAACCACAGTGCTGCTCTGACATGGCCATCGAAGGCAGCCCTGGACCCACTCAGGTGGCCAGCCACTGACCGTGCTCCAGGCGTGGACCCTGGGAGGGTGGGGAGGTGCCCCCCCAAATTGGAGGCCCCCGGCCCCGGCCCCCACGGCCTGGGGGCTGCGCCTCACCTGCACACCCGGGGGAGCAGGCCTCAGGGTAGGCGGGGCCCCGGGGGAAGAGGGGCTCGCGGGGCTCACGGGGCTCGCGGCCCCCGCGGCTGCAGCCCTCCTGGCAGCTCTCGCTGAGCAGCCGCTTGAGCATCTGGTTCTCCTTCAGCAGCCGCACCTGCTTCTTCAGGTCCGCGTTCTCGCTCATGAGCCTGCTCATCAGCTCGCTGCCCTCAGCCATGGCGCGCCCTCCGTGCTCACGTGTAGGCCTGCGGCCCCATGGAGATGGAAGTCCAGAGCTCCCAGACCTACAGAAGCCACCCAAGACCCTGGAGTTCCAGGGCAGCGCCTTCCGCAGCCTTGTGATGTCGCTCCCTTAAAGAGACAGGGCCACCACCATCGGGGCCCCAGACGGGGTGCTGCCTGGCAGGCAGAC